AGAGGGACGCGCACCTCTGAAATGCTCCAGCCACAGGCTGATTCCATGAGATAAGTGAATGGTCATGAGGTGTTCACAAGGCCTAGTCGGGCTAGCAGCTGGGTCTTAGGGAGATAGAATGAAGAGGGAAGGAGGAGAAGAACACAATGTATGAAGCCTACCCTTGTAAAAACTTACTTCTTTCATGGAGTCCCACAGAGAAGCCTAGTGGGTGGTGATTAGTTCATGGTTACTGCATCATGGAGGTGACACTTGTGAATAGATTAATGATGTCTCTGCATCCAGTGAGTTTTAGATTTTGTGAGAAGAGGTTGGTTTTTGTGAGAGTTGGTAGCTATAAAAGAGAGCAAGCTGCTTGTTTTTTCTCTGCAAGTGCCTGCTCTCCACTGTGATTTTTTTCAGTGATGACATGGCTTAGGACTCTGGACTTCATAGCCACCAGAATCATGAGTTGTATAAACAAATTATTTTTATCTTCTTTATAAAATCACTCAGGCTCAGGTATGTGTTTACAACACAAAAATGGACTAAGAAATCATCCACAAAAAAGATACATTTTTTTCCAGTTGTTCTTAAAATGTGTTGCCCAGACTTGCAACAGCAATCACTTGAAAATTTATTAGTAATAAAAATGTTTGGGCCCTACCTCAGATGTATGGAATTGGAAATACTGGGGGTGGAGCCCATTTTTAGTTTAACAAGCTCTCCAGGTAATTCTGATGCATGCTAAAATTTGAGAGCCATAGCTTTATACTCAGCAATCATCTTGGGTGTAAATAGAGATAAAAAGAAAATATCCAAAAAGATTGAGTATTTTTGCCTCAAAGAAATCAAACACTAAAATATTCTTCAAGCAAGTTCAACTCTCCCATGATTTTCACTCTTGGGTTCTCAATATAACCAGCATTCATAAGAAATTTTAGTCCATTTATGAAGATATAGAGAAATCAATGGTTTTCGCCTACCTGAATTATAGCAGGTACATCTTTACCTTACCTCTGTAATTTCCCAATAATACTCGTTACGAATTGATTAAAAGTTTGTATTTACCTTTGCAATCATCCTCAGCAAAACAAAACTACCAGTAAGATTGCCTACGATTGGTCTACTTCACGGTCACATCTATTCTTCAGTAGGATTTTGATCACTCTGTAGAGAATTTCTACAGAACCAATGTGCTAATGACTAAGCCAAAAGGTTCTTAGGGTTAACCTGGTCTGACATTTACTTGGGGCATTTTAAGAGACTTTCAAAGAGCTTTATCCTTTACAGATGCTCAGTATTCATTTGGTTAATGAATGGAGAATCTATGTGGGTTAAACAGCTTGAGAACATCTCTTAGAAAAGGTGTCATATAAAAACAGAACGGGATGAATGGAGAAAGAATATTTTGGGTCGGATGAGAAAAGGATATATAATTGGCTGAGCAAAAGCTTGAAGTTAAGTCTAATTGTGGAGTGTTTGGAACTGAGTGAACAGCACTGGAGAGGAAAAGCTATGCACAGGGGTTGATGATGACCACCACTATCATTAAATGATATAGTTTTAAAGAGTTATTGAGGGGCCATCAGGTGGTGTGGAGGTTAAGGCAGCTAGATCCCACATGACCACTGTGCAGTTTGAGTCCCAGACCCAGTAGCTTGAAAAATATACCAGGTGGTGTATGTGCATGCCCAGAATTTCAAGAGACTGGAGAAGGGATTGTGGTGTGGCCATCCCCCAGGGAGATCTCTCTCTCTCTCTCTTTCTCCAGTGGGTACCCATATAGCCAAAAAAAAATTAAAAAATAAAAAAGACAAATGAAACCAAAAAAACAACTTTAAAAAAGGAGTTATTGAGTTAGTAATCATTAATTCTCTGAGCTAGGTAGTGGGCAAATGCAAGAGAATGGGATAGACAGGGTACTCAAATCTAGTGAAGAACAGAAAACAAGCAATGACAGGAGCATGTTAACTGCTTTGGTAAATAAAGTACAGGGCCACTTGGGGAGCTCATCCTTCCAGGACTCAAGGGGGGGGGTCTAGAAAGTTTTCCCAGATAAACATATGTCTACACTGTGTGTGACCTGGACTATGAATAGGAACCAACCAGTCAATGAGGGAAGGGTAGCACAGAGTGGGATTGGATGCGTGAAACTGGGCCAGATTGCGAAAGGCCTTCCAAACCATGGTAGATTCTAAGCTTTATCTAGAGGGATACAAGGAGGCCTCAGGAGGTTTTGAACAGGGTAAAGGGCAAACTTTTTTTTGGTAACCTCACTGTAGCTTCCATATAGAGGATAGCTGAAAGTCTGGTGCCTGATAGCAATGGCCTTAGTTATAGAAGTATTAATAGTAATGGAAAAGAAGAAAATTTAAAGAACTTACTAGAAAAAGAAAATGACCTAGCAGTTAGTGTAATGGCTATGTCACTGGACTCCTATGTAGTCGACCATATTTCGAGTACCAGATCTGGTGGCTTAAACTCACACCGGGCGGGTATGCGTGCATGCCCAAGATCCTACGAGGAGGCTAGAGAAGGGAATGAGGCATGGCCATGCCCCCTAGGGGGTGATTTCTCACTTTCTGTCTTTCCCTCTCTCTCTCTGTCTTTCTGGTGAGCCCATGTGCCCTATAGCAAAAAGTTCTCCAAAAAAAGGGGAAAAAAAAATCTGACCATTTAAAAGAATTCATGAATTCTTTGACATCATACCACTGAAAGGTGGAGATGTCTATTTCCTCCCTTAGAATCTGGGTAAGGTCTGTGATGTTAGTGGAAGTAATGTTATGTGACTTCTGAGACTAGATCATATTATAAAAGGTGACAGCAGCTTCCACCAATGGGTCCTCTTGGGAAACACAGTCCTAGGACCTAGCCACCATGCTGTGAAGAAATTATGTGTAGATGTTACAGCCTCAGCCCCAGTTGAAGTCTTAGCATCAGAAGCCACAAATATTGAGCGAGGAAGCCTTTGGGATGGCTCCAGTCCCACCTATGATATGAAGAGGACTATAATCACATAAGACCCTGAGGAAGAGCTGCCTGGCTGAGGCCAGTCAATCCCTGGGATAATAAGAAATAGTAAGACAATTGGTATTGTGTAAGCCACTAAGTTTTGGAGTATCTATTAAAAAAAAATAAAGGATTTATTTATTTATTTCAAGAAAGAGAGAACAAGGAAAGAGAGGCACCCTTAACAGGTTTTCATGCTGTGATCCTTCCCCCAGCCTATGCCAGCCAGACAGGCTCACAGGCAAAGTGCACACACTCCTGAATATACACGTTGAGCTGGGAACTGAACCCCCATGGCAATGAAATGTTGTGGTACAGCTGCACCACCACAGTCAGGCCTGGAGTGTTTTTGACACAACCATAAATAACCTGAAGACTACTGATATTTATGCTATCACCTAACCCAAGAGGTATCTTTTTGTTTCTTTCTTATAACTGTATTATATTCACCATCCTGATTTTTGGATTCTAAAGCAATAGACATCTACAATAAGTGACAACAATCTACAAAAGCAACTAAGAGTTGAGGAACAAGATGTTCTGTCCAATTGAATATTCTCATTAATAGAATAAGTAGATGCTTTATGCAAATTTCAGATTAAAACAAAAAATTTTAAGAGAAAAGTTATCAAATTTAAGGATGGAATGTCCTCTCTAACCTACACTAAGCATTTTTTCTTTGGTGGTTTTAAGACTTTAGAATCATTTGGTATTTGTGGGTGAGCATGATGCATATTAGTTACCTAGGCACTAAGACTTCAGGGAACATGGAATGACTGTTTTTGCAGTCAGCTGAGCACCTGCAGTAGGGACTGTCATTGTTGTTATCTATTGCTCACAAAATGTGCTGTCTTTTTTTCTTTTTTTTTCTATTTTTTTGTTGTTTGTTTGTTTTCTGTTTGCTTTGGCTTTTTTGCTGATGAATGGTTGTTAACAATCAAAGCCACAAAAACCTAGGACATTATACCCATTTGAATGCTCTTTGTGAAGGCTGGAGAAGATGAAAGGTAAGTACTTTGACAATACAGAAACCCCAATGCTCTTTCTCCCCTTCTTTTTGCTAAGTAGCAGATACACAGAAGAAATTAAGCTTCTATGAAGGCAGAGAATTTGTTTGTTTGTTTTTTAACTGTGTTTTATTAAATGAGGGCTAAATTTCACAAAGTACAAGCAAAAGAAAATATTTTGATACTTTGAAGGAAGAACTCATATATTTATAATTCCTCAATTAGGTACAAGCATTTTTGAAAGCTACCTATTAAGGTGATAATAGCCAATGTTTATATAACACTTACTAGTGCAGGGCACAGTCTACTTGCTTTACATTCAGCCTTGTCTCATCCTAACACCAAGCCCCTATGAGGTAGGTGCTATTACTATTTAGTAATAGGATCTCGTTTAGTAAACGAGGAAGTTGAGGCAAGCCCACAGTCACACAGTAAGCTGAGAAAGCCATTAGTGTTTTCTCTCAAAGGATTTTCCTTTTTCTCTTCTGAAGATACATAATGTGATACAGTAAACAAAATACTAGACTAGAAATCTGTATTTTAATCTCAACTCCACTGCAAATTAGTTATGCCAATTTGGACAAGTCATTTTCTCAACCTGAAAGATAAGAATTAATTAGCAGATTCAGAATATTCCTCCTAGTCTAAAATTTCTGATTCTATGAATAATTCTTGCCAAGGAATAACTTGTTTTGGAGAAAACACTGAAGAAAGAATCTGCAGCACTCTTGGCAGATAGCTACTGGGTATTTCATGCCTCACTGGGCCTTCACAAACAAAAGTCAAAACTAAAGTGGAGCTGCTGTGTGTCTTCTGCACATGGGTGACCAGGTATGTTAACATTCACCAGATGCTGTATTTCAAACCATCGTAAGTATGAAACTTTGACCAGCTCTAACACATATTTTCACAATAAATAAGGCATTGGAAAAACAGAGGGAGAAAAATCATTAAGAAATGAGAAATGCTTAGAAATGCTTAGAAAACTAAGCACTATGTGGGTTTTTCATTTTTTTTTTAATTTTAATGTTTATTTTTTAGCATTTATTTTGAAAGGCACATGGTTTGCCCAACCAGTAATCATTTAAATTTGGTTGACTTACCAGTTCTGAAAGTAAAATTCTGGGTTTTTGTGTTGTTGAGAAAATAAGACAAAGATAATCCCAAGATGTTTGCTTAGGAACCTTCTTTATTTCTCTTATTTTTGAAAAAATTTGATCCTGCAGAGCCTCGAGTGAAAATTTCAGATCAATAGGCAAATACACACGGGTGTTTTTTTTTCCTAGATGGAAAAGCAAGGGTCCTGGTGTCTTGTATAAGGCCACAGAGAACAATGATGTTGGAGCAAGAAAAACATCTGGGTCAACTCCCAACATGGTGGAATTGGGTTTCAATTTTCTGGATTCAGTAAGGGTAAAGATTACAAGTAACTACTGTCTGGGAAATCAGTCAGAGTTGACCATACTTAGAATGAAACTTGTTCCTGTTGGTGCTTATTGGGCTTCTCTCTAGTAGTGGAAGCTGCACTGGAGACTGGGACCACGTTCCTTCACGGATGCTCAGCAGTTTGCACTGAGGACACCTTTCCAAGAGGGCTGAGTTGCCTTTTCTTGTATCTACATCTTCACAGTAGTACAGTGTAACTTTCAGATCAGCAAGCCAGAACTCGATGAACTCAGGAATTTAGGGAGAAGACCAAGTCATCCACTGAAGTGTGATGACTAACTTCTTAGGGAAACCAAAAATTCATCGGAAGCCAGCCCCTCAGACCTATCAGTAGGTTGAAACTAGAACTACTCAGCTAACAGGGATTGGCTGAGTGACTGGAAGGTCCGACGGCTGCCTGTCTTCTTGTTTAACAGCAATGTGTGGGACTTTCTATCCCTGGGGGTGTGGCAGAGTAGGGCATCCAAAGTGTGAGTGGTGACCTGGCCATTTATGTGCAGTTTCCCATAGACCTCTTCGAATCTGGCCACCAGGGCAGGCATATCCTTCACTTTTTCCCTCACTTTGGCCAGCTGGAAAAAAGTTAGAACAGACATTATATCTCTGCAAGAGTTCTTCCATGTTCTTTTTATCCTCTAAAGCAGAAATAGGCCCATCCAGGTAAGTGGTGATTGAAGTGGTTGGATCTTACAAGGTGTTTGCACAGTCCAAATCCTGGACCTGGCAACTTGAAAAACACACCAGACATATGTGTGCATGCCCAAAATCCCAAGAGGAGAACGGAAGAGAAGGACTTGTGGGGTGGTCATTCCCCCAAAGGGTGATCTCTATCTCTGGCAATTACATGGACCTTATTGAAAATTAAAAGAAGCAACAGCAGCAGAGATAGACATGCATAAAAATGTCTAGTGTACATGTAAAGTGCTGAGGACAACTAGGTTATTGGAACACACAGACTATAAGGGATTCCAAAGTTACACACATAATTTAGAATTAACATTTGAAAATCATACCTCATGGCTTATAAAAGGGGGTCTGCATGGTATATTCTATACAAGGAAGTATACCAGAAAAAGGTCATCAAATACCAGTGGAATCAACTTCGTTCAAAGTAGTAAGAGCAGGAGGCAGGGCCAAATTACATAGGGCTTTATATATAGATCGTGGTAACTTTTGAAACTATATTTCTTCTTTGAGAGAGAATGAGAGAAAGAGACAAACATGCACTCGCCCAACAAGATCTTTGCATTGAAATCTACCCTTAGCTTCCTCTGGCCCAAATCATGGGCATGCATGGCCACATCCCGTGTGCTCAGAGGTGCAAACCTAGGACCTTTCCCATGGGGGTCCAACTGTGTGATTGCTGTGCCACCCCCTGGCCCCTTTACAAATTGATCATAAAGGTCATCAGAGTGTCTAAAGTGGGGCATGATCTGACTTTGGTTTAAAAAGCTATATGAAGAATGAACTGGATAGTTCAGGATTAAAGGATTAGTGTCTAATCTAATCTGGAGGCTCCACTGTAGTACAGACAAAAAAGATGGTGGTTTAGATTGGGAAATGGATAGAAAAGATTGAAAAGCACATGTATGTGGAGGACATTTTGGAGGTTAAACTGAAAGAACTTGTTGTGAAGCTCTCAAGGAAAGGAAGGAGTCATAGTTAGAAACTTTAGTGAATTGGCGGTACTGTCATTTACTGAGATGGGGACATGGGGAGCAACAGATTTAGAGAGGACAATCTAGACATAGAGCTCTCCATGAGACATGGAGTTACCTGTGAACCACTTAAATGAATTATGTCATGAAGAATGATGGATATACAAATATGGGGCATGCAGGTGAGGTCTATATCACAGATCTAAATAGCAGAGTCACAAATATATGAATGGTATTGAACTCTACCAAAATGTTGAAATCAGAATGCAAAACTACTTTCTTAACAAAACCAGTATTTTCCATAGTTCAATCATCAAAAAACCTCCCTGGGCAACCTCACCCTAACCAGGGGAATACACTGAACTAGTGGGTAGTTTTAGTAGTTTTCAATGAGTGTTATGTTTGGATGCTTTTGTCATATAGATGGTGATGATATATGATGGACCAGGTCTAAGGACTGACCAATTAACATCAATGCTCTCGACAAAACTGTAGTTGTGGGCCAGTTAGCTTTTTGTTCTTTACAGCTTTTTTTCCCCTTAAGTTACATGCTACCAGAGATATATACATTACTATTTTAAAATGATCTGCAAACTATTCCTCTTTTTAAGAGGTACTTAAACCTTGTGTGACACATAAGTTCATTCGTTTCATTTTTGCTTTTGATTTTTAGGAATTGCTTTTTTCTCTTTAATTCTGCTTTATATTTTACAAGACATTTGGTTCCAAAGTCAAATATACAAACAAGATATATTCAGAGAAGTTGTACTTCTGTCTCTATCCTCACTCTTATATAATTGTTTTGATTAAGCTTTGGTTTTTTCCATCTGCTATGTTTTTCAGAAATCTAACTTTATCAGTTGATGTATATTTTATATATACCTCACTGACTTACATCTTGCCTTTTTCACTTTACATATTTAAGTGATCTATATATATAGCGACCAACAGCATATGTTGAGTTATTCTTCAGTTCCTTTTGGACTTGTACAGCCGCCTTTGTATGGAGGTACCCAGTTTGCTCAACAAGTCTTCTACAGATGGAATAGGGTTGTTTCTAGTCGTGCTATTACAAATCGGCCTATAACAAATAGCCTTTGTATTATACATACACCTGCTTGTATTTTTGCCTGTGAATCTTTGAAATATATTCCAAGAAGTGGAAAGATTGAGTCAAAGGGCAGATTCATTTGTAATTTTGTTAGATATCAACAAATACCTCTCCAAAAGTATTATACCAATCTCTACTTAAACAGCATAAGGTGATACTGTCCGTTTGCTCAGAGCCTCTCCAACTAAGTAAGTTAAATTTTAGACTTCTACTTAAGTAAGATTAGGAGAAATATCTCGAGGTCATTTTATTTTCCATTTCTCTTAATATGAGCAAGACTGAGACTCTTTTCAAATGTTTAGATGCTATTTACAATTCTTTTAGTGAATGTGGCCCATTTTACTTACCCATTTTTCTTCAAGATTTTTGGTTCTTTTCTCATAATTTTCAGAAAGAGCTATATATATATATAGCTATATATCAGTTGATGTATATTTTATATATACCTCACTGACTTACATCTTGCCTTTTTCACTTTACATATTTAAGTGATCTATATATATAGCGACCAACAGCATATGTTGAGTTATTCTTCAGTTCCTTTTGGACTTGTACAGCCGCCTTTGTATGGAGGTACCCAGTTTGCTCAACAAGTCTTCTACAGATGGAATAGGGTTGTTTCTAGTCGTGCTATTACAAATCGGCCTATAACAAATAGCCTTTGTATTATACATACACCTGCTTGTATTTTTGCCTGTGAATCTTTGAAATATATTCCAAGAAGTGGAAAGATTGAGTCAAAGGGCAGATTCATTTGTAATTTTGTTAGATATCAACAAATACCTCTCCAAAAGTATTATACCAATCTCTACTTAAACAGCATAAGGTGATACTGTCCGTTTGCTCAGAGCCTCTCCAACTAAGTAAGTTAAATTTTAGACTTCTACTTAAGTAAGATTAGGAGAAATATCTCGAGGTCATTTTATTTTCCATTTCTCTTAATATGAGCAAGACTGAGACTCTTTTCAAATGTTTAGATGCTATTTACAATTCTTTTAGTGAATGTGGCCCATTTTACTTACCCATTTTTCTTCAAGATTTTTGGTTCTTTTCTCATAATTTTCAGAAAGAGCTATATATATATATATATATATATATATATACACATATATATGGGTTAATTAGTCTTTGTCTATACAATTAAAATTTTAGGTATGTTCCTCTATATTGTAACTTTAAAAGGTTTTAAAAGTTTTTGGTGTAGTTAAATTTATCTTTTTATCTTATTGATTTAGATTTTTGTCTTAGAAATAAAAGTTTTTCACTGCTAGAATGTAAAAGAAACCACTGACATTTATATCTATCTTGTGTAGCTTCATTTTAAAAATTTAAATATCTCATCCATTTAGCATTCATCCTGGTTTGTGGTATAAGAACATATAAAATTTTATTATCTATCTACTTATCTTTACACTACTTCTTAGAAAAGTTTACCATTCTGATTGAGCTAAGAGCGTGCTTTAATCCTAAAATGAATTTGCATATGCAATCGAGTCCATCTCTAGATTTTCTATTCTGGACCACTAGTTGGTCTATTCATGAACTAAACCATAGTTTGCATTAGAAAGGCTTTACCATGCTTTAATATCTGTTAGGCCTGGCACATTATTCTTTCACTGGATTTTCCTAGCTATATTTGCTTGTCTGTTCTTTCAACTAAACTTGACAGAAACACTGCTATTTTTGTTGGGAACAACTTATATTACCACATGAAAATGGAAAGAACTGATTTTTTTGTTTTCTAGTTTTTTTTTTAACAGCCAAAGGGTGATGCCCTCACCAAAGAGAGAGAAAGCGAGACAGACAAAGCATCCCCTGATGCCCAATGGGACATGGTCATGTCACAATCCCTTCCCCATTTCTCCATTCCATCAGGATTTGGGGCAGGCACGCATATGCACAGGGCATGTTTTTCAAGATGCGAGAGTCAGGATTTGAACTGGGTTCATTCATGTGGGATCTGGCTTTCTACGTATAGCATTTAACCACTGCACGACAGAGACAGTCCAAGGACTGACATTTTATGAGGTTGAGTCTTCATATCTAATCACATGGTATGGCTCTTCATTTGTAAAAGAGATTTCTTTTTTTTAAGATTAAAGACACTATACCCTATTGTTTGCTGATAGGAATGATCCATGGGGAAGGGCATACTGATGATGCTCAAAAAAGAATTAGAGAATTTCTGGATTGATGCCAGGGAGCAGATCAGAGGGGGCAGGATTTTAGTGTGTGGAGGGGGAAAGAGACTGGCTGAAAAGGGGCATGACAGTCACTGTGGGCATACAGGGAGAGCAGCTGGAGGTTGTTGATGTGGCCCTCATGCTCTTCTGATTACCTCTGCTTTTTTTATTATTATTATTATTTTCAATCAAGTAGAAAGCGAGGTCACTGAATAAGAGTGAGAAGTGGCCAAAAGGTACTGAAAATTTAAGAAGAAAAGGCTTAAGATTGTCATCAAGGAGAAAGACAGCTGAGACCCACAAAACAGTGTGGGTAGAATAATAATAATGTAAAGGAAAAACGCATAGCTGTAATGTCGCCCTGTGATGCTGGAGGCACGTAGATACCACAGTTTGGATCTTGGGTCAAGCTGAAATATGCCAAGTGTGCCTATCCCCATGCCCATGATCCTGGCTGAATGGAAGGCTTGGAGAGTAGGGATGGATTGAGGTATGGTAAAAACTTGCCATTCAGGCCTCTTTCTCTCTGTCTTTCTCTTTCTCACAAAAGAAATAAAATTTTTAAAAAAGAGAGAAACGTTTCTTCTATAGTTTCAGAAGATATATTCTGTCAGAGAAAAACAAAATCTTTAAAGTCACACACAGAAGTCTTAAATCAGAGAAGTTACCATATCTGTCGATCTTTTTAAGAAGGTCAGCTACAGAATTAAGAAAAAAGTGGCCATATTTAAGACTGCTCGTTCACTTTCTTTTTTTAAAAAAAAAAAAAGATATTGTTCCACTTTTGGAATTTTTTTTTTTTTTTTTTTTTTGCTATAGGGCGCGTGTGCTCGCCAGACAGACAAAGACATAGAGACAGAAAGCGAGAAATCACCCCCCAGGGGAGATGGTCAAGCCGCAATACCTTCTCCTCCATTCTACTCTCAGGATCTTGGGCACGCTTACACATGTGCCCGGCGTGAGTTTTAAGCCTCCGGGTCCGGGACACAAACCGCGGTCGACTACGTGGGAGTCCAGCGGCATATCCATTACGCTAACTGCTGGTCCCCATGTTCATTCACTTTTAAATGATTTCTGCAGCACTTGCCCACTTACCACTTCCTCTGAGAACTTGCGTCTTTTCACAAACCTTGATAAGTTTCCTTCTGCAGCACCCTCTAGTATCTCTATCGAGGTTTCCAACATATTTGACTGGATATGAATTAGAATCTGAACCAAAAGAAGAAATTAGCAAAGATGAGTCTGAGCCAGTATTTCAATGTTGAGAAAAGTTTCTGGTTAGATAAGCCTGCATTTTAGGAACCCACCCTGCTTTGATGCCATTTCCTAATCCAATTGCTTACTCAATATAAATAGTGCAAAGTTCAAAAAGTACTTCCAATATATATGTACACACACACACACACACACACGCACATCCCTACTCACCAGCCCAAACCTGCATAGTCAGTCAAAATACCACAACTTTAAAACTTAAGGGATCACAGGCAGCCTGTGACTTGGTGATTAAGTGAGCTAGATCCCACATGGAGAACAGTTCAAGTCCTGGACCTGGAGGCTTGAAAAACATGCCAAGCCCATATGCATGAAAGGAGAGAGAGATGGAGGAAAAGGGATAACAATGTGACCATGTCCAATCAATGGAGGTGCGTTCTCACTCCCCCTCCCCATCTCTTTTTGGTGGTCATATGTGCTCTATGGCAAACAAAATTTTTAAAAAGAAAAATTAAAAGTAACTTAAGTATAACAATGAAGAGTGCATGGATACTGGAGTCTGATGCAAAGCGGGATGAACTCTCAGCAGAGGCAATTACCGGCTATATGACTGTGGATCAAGTACTTAATCTATTTCAATTTCTGCATTTATAAATTGCAGAAAATACCTTCAGTTTCCACATTTTGGGTTATTGTGAACAGTAAATGAAATACCAACACGCAGGAGGTATTCAATAACAAAAATCTTAGTTTCCCTCCTTACCTCCTCTAGATTCAGAGCATATGACAGTCAAACAACCTTATAAAATTGGCTAGGGGCAAATATCAATAGTACTTTTAACTTTGTTGTTATTGCAGGTACAAAGGTTTTACTGCAGGCATAGAGTGAAGGCTGGTTGAAATTTTAATGAGGTACTTCTATTGACACCATATATATTAAGAAACTTTTAAAACTGGGTACTGTACCGTGCTTTCAAAAAGACACTGCTAACTACTTTCTACCAGATAGTACAATTAATGCACAGGGGAAAAAATACCCACATTTTCCCTTCTAATTACCAACAATCACTACTATGATTTGAAAAGTGGAAAATGGTTTAAAGAAAATGAGAAAAACTCAGAATTCACCAATCAACTTTAACATTTTTTATAATGTGATGTCTTACAGGTTGAGTATCCCCTATCCAAAATACTTGGGATCAGAAGTATTTTGGATTTTAGATGTTTTCAGATTTTGGAATATGTGTATATATATGATGAGGTATCTTGAGGATAGTACCCAAGTCTAAACACAAAATTCATTTTTGTTTCATACGTACCTTATGCACATAGTATGAATGTAATTTTTTATAATATGTTCAACAAATGAAACAAAGTTTGTGTACATAAATCATGAGAAAGCAAAGCTGTCACTATCTCAGTAATACATGTGTACATCTGTGTTTGTTTGGTGTCACTAAGTAAGGGGGCTGGAGGATCTTTTTCCTTTGGGAGATGCTGAATAAAGTGTGTGTTGTACACCTGTGTTTTGCCTATGAGGTATCACATGAGGTCAGATGTGGAACTTTCCATTCACGGTGTCATGTTGGTGCTCAAAACATTTTAGACAGAAGCATTCTGGATTTTGGACTTTCAGATTAGGAATGATAATCCAAAGCTTCTAAATATATTATGTTTTTCCTAAAATTTGATACTGCTTTTTGTCAATTATTAAAAAGAACATTCACATAGCATAATAAATTTTAGAGAAAAGAAAACCTCAGGAGCGGCAGATGGCATAATGGTTATGTTGCTGGACTCCCACGTAGTTGGCCATGGTTCAAATGTTGGACCTGGTGGCTTAAAACTCACGCCGGGCACGTGTGCATGCGTGCCCAAAATCCCAAGAGGAGAATGGAGGAGACAGGATTGCAGGATTGCAATGTGGCCATCCTCCCTGAGTGTGTGATTTCTCACTTTCTATCTCTCTCTGTCTCTCCCTATCCCTTCAGCAAGAAGCGCATGCACCCTATAAGCAAAATTCTCTCAATAAATAAATAAATAAATAAATAAATAAGGAAAGAAAGAAAGGAAGAAAAATCTCATTTTAAACTATACTTATATCAATTAGTGTGATTAGTGTGTATATATTTTTTTTAAAAAAACTTACATTTCTTAGATTTGATTCCTAGAAAAGAAATTTCTAAGTCAAAGGGCATAAACATTTTTAAGGCTCTTGATCCTTGTGAAAGGTATTTTTTCAGGAAGAGGAACTCCTTTTATAGTGAACTGGCTATGTTCTCTCACCAGCCTATTTTGTTTCTTTTTTTTTCCCCAGAGAAATTTTTGCTATAGAGAGCGTGCATTTGCCAGAGAGACAAAAAGTGAGCAATCACCACCCCTCCATGGATGTGGTCACGCTGCAATCCCTTCTCCTCCATTTTATTCTCTCCTCCATTTTCTTCTTGGAATTTTGGGCACACACATGCACCCAGGGTAAGTTTTAAGTTGCTAGACTGAGGACTTGTACCTGGTAGACTACGTGGGAGTCCAGCGACATAACCATTACACCATCTGCTGGTCTCTTCACCAACCTATTTTGTAACATTTTAAGTTTGTTGAATAGTTGATCAGGATGAGGGGTTATCTTTGGTCCTGAATAACAGAAGGAAATAACTCCAGTGGTCTAAATTCAAAAAAAACCTAACCTAAATCCAGTGTTCTAAAACACTGGCAAAATCATGAGCACATCCTTTGCTGGAAGACAAGTCTCCATGGGTCTCCTGCATTTCTGCATATTCTGTGAGCAGGACCTGCCTTTATAGGAAACTCTGTTTTCAAGGACACCTGCGTAACAACAGCCTTAGAAGACAGACACACTAGTCTCATCCAGAGCAAAGGGCAGGCATGCTTACTGCCCCTTCTAAGAGATTTCGGTTCCCGAACTTCAGGGTTCCTCTCTTAAAATGCAAGCCCATGAGTGTGCAAAAGGCCTATAGACCTCTTCACATCAGCCCGTAGGAACAGAGGTCCAGGGAGCTGATGTAGAAATGCTGCTAATGCTCTGGAAATTGCTGTCATTGTTAGAAACTGTCCTTCATCTCTTGGTGTTCTGTGTACCCCACCAGCACCCATGAAACTAGGGCAGGCTAACTCCTTAATTTGCAAGTCAGTTAAAATGTCTGATCCTTCACAGTTCTTAACATCTTTATTAATAAAAAACAGTACCAATTTGGCCAGCAGTGGTCTGTCCTTCCAGGCAAAGACAGTCTAGCTTATTGAATTCTGTATCTTCAGTACCTAGCTCCTACCTGACCTCAAATAAAGAATGAGAAGTGGAGTGTGGGTTCCTTAGCAATTTTCAAGGAGAAACCACCTACAGTCCTATGTAGAAACAGAGTGCCACCAGAAGATTTCAACTTTAATTCGTAAGTTTTCCCAACTTCTTTCCCTGCCTCCAGCAACTATCTGTGATTCAGCAGGGATTTCAAGAAGAATGTTCACTACCTTAAAATGCACTGGTCCTGGGCCATATACAAAGACAGACACTGATGAAAGGCAAAGAGAGTCTTTAAAGCTAGGGGCTTGTCTCCTAAGTCTCCAAAGTCTCAGGGTGCAGTTAAAGAAAACTAAAGCAGGGAGCAACACATTGCTTTCATCTTAGAAATTTCAAACAAAAACTAGGGAAATTGAATTAGCAAGAAACAGGGGAAATTTTGGTAAGTAAATTATTTACAGAACCCATACTTCCTGCCCCTCTGATTTTCTGAGGTTTTAGGAAATGATGACAAGTCACTGGATACCTTTGACCGAAAAAGGGAACAGAAGCCCTGAGCACATAGACATTTGCATTTTTTGTTTATTATTTCTTTAAGTTTGTTATATTTGAAGAATATCACAGTGTGGTAGACTATTATTGCTAACTTATATGCATTCTCCCTTCTTTTTTGATAACAGAATGCCCTAACTTTAATCGATGTTGTCATGTACAGAACTCAAAGACGGTATTTCTCAGGTTCCTTTGAAATGAAGTGTGGTTGTAGAATTAAGTTATGGCCGATAACACCTAAGTACAAGTTGTTGGGTGAGACATTTGGGGCAGCATTTTTAAAAGGGACCAACTTTTTATCCTTTTCTATTTCCCAAGTTCTTTTTGTTTTTTATTTTTTTTTAGAGCGATTTTTGGTATAAGGGTGTGTGTGCCTGCCAGACACACAGAAAGACAGAGAAATTGAGAAATCACCCCCTGGGGGGATGGCCAAACCGTAATCTCTTCTCCTCCCTTTTCTTCTTAGAATTGTGGGCATGCACACATATGCACCTAGTGTGTTTCAAGCTGCTGAGTCCAGGACTCAAATCATGGTTGACCACATGGGAGTCCAACGCCTTAATCCCTACGTCACCTGCTGGCCCCCATTTCCCAACTTCTCAGAACAGGGATGTAATGGATGGAAGCAGTGTGCTTAGTATGCCAGAGCACAAAGCTACAAAAGAGGCCAAGTTCCTGATGACATTATGGAATGCCACACCAGACCTGATCTCACTACCTCATGTTTTCTACATGGAGGAAAAGTAAAGCTTCTAATTAGTAGATTCGGTTTAGGTGCTTGTTTGTTTGTGTCTAAACCTCCCAACCAAATGTAATACTTTAACCTGTACTTATGGGTGTGATGCTGCCACAAAGGGATTTATGAGAAATAGTCCTGCCTCCTTTTCTGTGCAGCTCAGAAGACATCCCAATATGAGCTAGAACTGTAGGTTAATCTAAAAGGAGCAGCACATTCACCTGTGTTAAGAAACAAATGATAAAAACAACAAAACTAACCACTTGTCATCTGCCCTCTGATGTAAGTTTAATTCCAAATTGGGTATCCATTTGGAGACATGCCCCGTTCCCCAAATAATTATTATTATAATTATTATTATTATTTTGAGAGGTTTTTGCTATAGGATGTATGCGCTTGCCAGAAAGACAGAGACAGAAGACAAGAAATCACCTCCCAGGGGTGTGGCCA